CTATACAGGTGCCGCATACGGGCTACATGATGCGGTGAAGGCACTTCGGGATCACGTTGGGGAACAAGACTTCGTGAAGTGGGCTCCCTTCGTGCATTTCGGCGTCTGATCACACGCTCAGTTGAAGAAGAAGATACAGGGAAGAGTGCTGATGATGGGCGGACGGTAGATATGAGGGAGATCCCGGGGGAGGAACGTGATTCAAACGAGGAGGAAGGTCTGTACGGGACTCTGCACCTGCGACGTGGGGAACGGCGAGCACGAGGCAAACAGCAACGCGCCTCCCGAACTTCCCACTGCCCTCGTTGAGAATGTGCATGCCAATATGGTAAATCAAGAGTTGTCGGACAGTGTGATTGCGGTCGTAGGCACGAGGGAGTTCAGGTCCGGACAAGTTGGCCAATGAATTTTCCGTTGCGAGAGAGCGTTGGACTTCTGGGCGCCTGGGGTAGTATTACGTTTCTGGTGGCTGTTTTCCAATGGTCTGTTAAGGATAGATAGTAGCGCTCGTATGTAAAGAACATCAGGGGTTTCCGTTTTTCAAGCATACCCGCATCGTCGCTGTGACGCCGCTCGAGGACGTCGAGCCGGAAGTAGCTCGCTGGAGGGGAGCCGGAGGAAGGGCGAGGGTGACAAAGGTGTGTGGTCGTCGAGCGAGCGACCGAGCGAGCTCCGACTACCGAGGCGATACTAGCTGAACGGGCTCTGGAGAGCCTCGGAACAACAGCAGTCTCTCGTAGGGTAGCTTATGTAGTCTATAGAGACAGCCTCTGCGTTCGCGCTCCTCGGTTACCGAGAGAGCGAGGGCGGGCCGCCGTGAGCGTTCGAGCGAACGAGCGCGAGCTCGCGAATATAAGCGCGTTCTCGGGCGCGACGACCGAACTGCTAGGGCTAGTCGGTTCCCGACGTAGCCGTAGTCTTAGTGAGTAGGAGGAGCGCGAATACGCAAGAAAGTATGATAATGCAAGATGATGGTCTAATACAAGCGAGGCGTAGCTATGAAGTCCAATCGGCCGTTGCCGGCTCTACCACGTGCATCCGCCCCGGCCGGCGCCACACCCCGGGCGTAGACGCCAACGCGCCAACGCCAAAGCAGGAGTAAACGAGCCCCAACTCCGCGCGCCCTAACCCGGTACGCGCCAATAAGAGCGCGAAAGCCAGACCTTACCACGGTACTGCTTGAACTATTCTGGACAGTAGCCTGTAGTGCAACGGGTCGCAAGGCATCGCCAGACACAGACACTCCGACTCGCATCATAAGATTACGGGATCAGGGATGCCAGCTGGAAGGCCGTACTGTTCAATTCATGTGATAGATATAGCAACGGGATTAGACGGACATCAAGGCGGTCTTCCCGCAAAACCGAACACAGTCTCAAAGTTCCGACTGATCCATCCATGTTCTGCTACGAGTTTCCGAAACTCTTCTCGCTCGTCGAATGCTAGATACTCCTCCTAGTAGCCCTTTGTCATATCATCCCACTTACACGGGCACTCTTCTGACGGGTGCTCGACGTATTCACCTAGTGCCATAACCATCTGTGCGAGTAGTCTGACGGATGTGTGAGTAATCAGCGGAGGAATGGGGATGATACATTGTAGAACGTACTGCTGCACGACTGTCATCGGTTGGTAGAACGGAGTACTCCCATGATCGTCACCGATCGTTGTGATTCGCTCGAGCTCTGCGAGCACCGCCTTGTGCACAGACATTCCCACACGCAGATTGCATTTGTAAACCTGTATGACAGAAGACTATGAGCGTGGAACATGATGTCAGACATGCTGAGAACTGACAGTCAAGTCAGGGTTCCGGCCACTGAGGAACTGGATGCGCGACCGGAATAGTTCATAAACGAGGGCTGGCCTCGATAATGTGCCCTGGTTGGAGATCAGGGCATTGACGACTCGCTGCGACGCCGATCGCAGCTGCTCTGGTGTGTCTATGATGCGAGTCAGAATTCGTCAGTCAGACGGCACACACCCTGAAAACCTTGATTACTTACAATCCTGGGCTCTGGTGGTCGGCTCCGAGGTCATAATATACACGGAAATACGGAAACACACATATACGTATCGCAAGTTGATGGCGTGAACGCGGTGACATCTGCGCGCGAACGTCACCGCCGCATCGATATCGACATAAGGCATATACTGGGCCGATGTCGTCAAGGCAGTCATTGGCGGATCCATTTGGCAGAGAGCTGAGTACCAATCTATGCCATGGCGTCTGAATGGCAAGGAGTGAGCCATGGTAAGAAAGATTGATAGGCACATATTGGCACATGCCTTGCCAAAATAGTGGCTGCTACGCTCACGCCACCCCATGCGACGGACTTGACGTCTTCTGGGGTTTGTCGAAAACTCCTGGAGCAGCTGGCACTGAATCACGCTTCTTATAAGCGCGGTACTGCAATGGCAGTGGTAAAGTCTTACCAGATTAGCTCACTCGACTTTGGGTGAGTACCGAGAGAGCAGTCACAGTAAGGACAGAATACAGTATTGTCTTTTAGGAACCCTATGCGCAACAAGCCCATCTCCATGCGACTACCGGGTTGCACACGGACCGCCCAGTTATGCGCTGAGATGAGCCACGATGTTCCGGCCTGGGACAGTTCGTAACACTTGCAAGGCACGAAGTCGACTGCTCCTGATATCTTCGAGTAGAATAGACACAAGAATTCGTGGAAGTACTGCAGCCAACACGTCATTGAGAACCTCATGGTGAGCCTAGATCCTACACACCTCGTACGAAGAGCAGAAGTGGCTCGGTACGGTAATCTCCTCTCCTAGTAAGCCGGTCAGGAGCACACCGTTCTCGAGACCGAATCCAGGGTGCACAGGTGTGGACGACTGGAGCCAAAGGACCTGCGCGACGAGCGCACAGATAGTCGTCCAAAAGCCCGTAGCCTGCCATTCTAAGCTGACGTTGTTGTGGACCATGAATGCAGCGCCCGCAACGATAAATGGCGCAAGCAGAGATAAGAATCGGTCCCGTTGATCTCGTGGAGTGTCAGGAGCGAGGGAGTCGAAGATCGTGTCGGCGACGCGTTGGACGCGCGACGCGACTCGGCGATCGTAAGGCGAGGCGAAGTACGGCCGGGAGAGCGTATCAGCGACGATTTGTTGGCGCGATTGGATCGCGGACTCTCGAAGAGCCAAGCTGCACAGTGTGAGACCCTATCACATAGCTCGAGTGCAATTATAGTACGCTCACAGTGCAGCGGCCTTGATCTCCTCGGCGGAGTCGCGGATTACACGGCTCTGATCTAGCGCGAGTTGTATATGATGACTATGCGATGCTAGTATGTGAGAGCCCTGCTCGTCCAGGAGATCAAACGTTGATTGACTGTAAAGCCAGATTAGAGGCGCAGTTACAGGTCGGGGCTGTACACGTACTGTCCGAGTAGGGAGATGAACGAGTTGAGCCTCTGATGGCTTTCGCCGAAACGTTGCGCATACTTGACCGCATCGGAAGCCCGCAGAAGGTGCCATTGAAGCTTCTTGAAGAGGCCGTGCGTAGCGTTGCGAGTGGAGTAGTCAGCCATCTTCTCGAGCTTCTCATAGCCGGTGATACTCTTGTACGCATTGTTGATATCGATACAACATAGTTGGATCTCCTCGAGCACAGCTTGTTTCAAGGCCTCGTTGCGCGAGGCGGTAGCAAGATCATAGACTTCGCCCATGACGGTACCAAGGGCAGAAAGAACGCGAGTGAACTGCTTGTATTCTTCAGCAGCGCCGCGTGCATCGTCGAGCGCCACGACAACATCACGAATGAGCTGTACGACTGCGATGATGTCGCCGATCGCGTTGCAAGTTATGGGGAACATGGAAGGTTGCTGACGGGGGAGAGAGGGCGTAAGTGGCGACGTGTAAATGGCCAGAGTATAGCTATAAGAGCCCTCGCGCACGCCTCATGGAAGGCTGTTATCCTAGGTGAGAAAACAACAGTGCACCGCTAAGCGCCAGACGCCGCCTTCGAACGGCCCAGAGGCGCTTCGCGAGCCAGTGCCGACAACTTGCCAGCAGAACATCGTATCACACAAGGGCTGGGGCATATCCCTGGCCCCTAGCATTCGGGGACTGCACATGGTGGGCACTGTTTGCGGTTGATCATGGTGGGAGAAGGCAAGGAACGTCGCGCCAATTCAGACGCGCGCGCCCTTGGCCCGACCTGCCTTCTGCATCCACTGCGACCTCCACTCTAGCGGCCGTATCTCGCTCGCGTGCCTCCACGCGCGCAGAAAATACCTTTGCGGCTTCTCTACATCACATTCAACCATGTATTCGACTCAACTTCCGACGTTCATCTTGAACTTCTACCCTCTGCACGATGGTTGGCAGTGCATCTGAGACATTTGGTTCGACTCCAGAGGAAGATACCCCCTCTTCCTCTTCCTCTTCCTCTTCCTCACCCACCACCGCGGTCAAACAACAAAATATCCCTCCACACCTATCGGCGTATATCACGATTCCTCTCTCCCGCTGCTGAAGCGCAGATTAGGACGGACTTTCACTCTCGATGTGTCCTGTGCGCTATCCGACTTGAGCCTCATGAAGGCTGTTGCATACCCGTCCTCGATGACGAACGTATGGTACGTCCCCTATACTCCCCATCCCCACTGCGATACTGAAGGCTATTACTAGTGGCTATGCTGTGAAGAACGATGGCTGACCACATCCTGCGATGTCCGTGGCGCGTCCAATGGACTGCTAGGTGCGTTATTTCCTCCACTTACCCTCACTAACAAACTTATGCTGACGCTGTGGCTGAATGTACAGTCTGTGAGAGCTGCCGCACCTATCTCGCTGACTCCGACCTCCGCAAATTCAGCCGACTAGTCATATTCGTTCCTTGTCGGCCTTTGTTGACCTACGTTGAGCACGTCCTGGAACGATTATGCGACGAGAAGGACAAGGCGGGTCGTATGCGGACTGTGGATGAGGTACGTCTGACAGCGCACCGCTGACTTTGCGATTGTCGCCGACATAATTGCTCTCCAGATACTGCACGACCTAGAGAACGACCAGACTTCGACTCCCGAACGGCGGGTGGCTTCACCATTCCTGCACTGCCTAGAACTCGCTTCCCTGCACAACGATCATCCACAGGGGCGTCGCTCACAGATCCCCGTGTACACCAGACCTCCGAGTATCACTTCAAACGGCCAGTCATACCACATCATCGACGTCTCCAACCCCGATACCGACTCAAAAGCGCACATGGATATCTCCCTCTTTGCCCCCATGGTCGACGACAACACCGTCTTATGGCGCATCCGACGATCGGCGGGCTTATTCCTAGGCTGCGTGGACTTTCTTTGTCCGACAGCGGCCGGCAACCGTGATCTCCAACGCGCCTACCGTCGAGTCCTCGCATCCGCTTCAGCCAAAAGACGTGGATTGGGTTGGCTAGACCTTGCACACGATGAAGCAATCTCGGAACAAATCTGGAATGGTATAGTTGTTCGTGCTGCTCTCAGAACCTCGGCTGATGTATGCTTCAAGCTCTAGAGGATGTCGAGAACGCTACGGCTGAAGAGTCCGATCATGATGAGCCTACGTTATTTGGACGTACGTCTCGCATCTTGCAAGGATGTCTCCGAAGCCGATAATACTCACCAGATGTATCTTCAGACCGCACGGGATCAAAGACGGGTAGCAAGACCAGACTCGTATGGAGATTAGTTGAAGTATCCGATTCTGGTGGCTCAGAGTCTACGGTCCCTAGGGGTATGTGTCATAGTTTACCCATGCGCTTTCTAAGGTATACTCACTCAAAACTCCGCAGTACCGGACCCAAAGCCTTGAGCTCTGGGGACTTCGGGTCCAGTAACGAGTTCGCTGTCAGCGATGTGAAGCATGTGCCACCGACCACGCTCAAGGAATGATGTGGTGTATTCGGATCTTGCTCCTTCCACGACGGTGATCGCAGTGCTCGTTGCGCGTCACGCTTTGGCACCGAGCGGTATCCGATATCAGTACCCATTCACGTTTCTACTTGTTCTGTGACCCGAGTTTGAACGGTATATGTTCACTGCGTACTCTGTGAGATACGATAAGCATGTATAGTAGTATCATACCGTACCTAATATCGTACACCCCTTCGAGGGAGTGATGTACATGTCTGCGTGCACCAGAAGATCGCGCCGAATTCACTGAGCTAGAGGAGCCGCTTCGCTGTGATCCTGCGCTGTCTGGTCCAGGACTCGGACTGCTTACGGCTGAACTAAATCCGGCTTATCACCGACGCCGACGGCGCTGCCGCTGCGCGCCTTGCCTTTCAACATCCAGCAGTACTCACGTTGATGCCCACCACACTAAGGTCACGATGATACACTCGGTCATTATCTGTGCGGTAGGCGCTCTACCAGTACAATCCTCGCTATACTAACCCACACCTTCCAGTCAACACGAGCGGTGTCCCCCGCCTAACGAAGTTCTACTCGCCCATCTACAAATCCCCGCACACCCTCGTCCAACGAATATACACACTAGTAGCAGCGCGCACACCGGGACAATGCAACTTCCTCGACGCACCGGAGCTGGAAGAGTTCTTGGGCGACGCGCGTGATCCCGCTGGGGAGAGGTTGCGCGTTGTGTATAGGTCGTATGCGACGTTGCATTTTGTGTTCGTTGTGGATGCGAGTGAGAGCGAGCTTGGGATTTTGGATCTGATTCAGGTGCGTGATTTGGTTTCAATTGGGTCTGTTGGTGCTTATCATCGTATAGGTCTTCGTTGAATCGTTGGACCGCGCGTTCGAGAACGTATGCGAGCTGGACCTCGTCTTCCACTTCGACGAGGTGCGCCTCACCCAACCCTTACAGCACCAAACTGAGGCTAACTCTACACTTCCAGGCACATCATATCCTATCTGAGATAATCCAAGGTGGCCTCGTGATCGAAACGAATCTCGAAGAGATAGACGCAGCCGGTGAGTTCCTCTTAAGTACACGCTTCAAGGCAGTCGCACTGCGCAGTGACTGACCAACTTTCCATGTTCGTAGTGCGGCAAGCCTCTCAGGCTCGGAAGCAGTCTTTCTCATCCGCGAACCCTCTCGCACTTGGCGGCGTGGGGGGCGGCGTCGGTCCACGCAGCGCGGGCTTACAGACGCCTCTAAATTGGTTATCTGGGAAGCTCGGGGTGGCTCGGTAACCTATCACGAATACGCTCTTTCCCGATTTGATGTCGGAACTATATGTACATGTACTATATCCGAAGGACTATCCTATGCGCAGTCACGAATCGCGATCCTATGACTCTTGCTCGAGCCACTCAGGGCGCAGGCGCCGCCGTAGACATTCCTACCACGCGGGCGTGAGTATCGGGCGCTAAGCACAGATAACCATAGACCGAACAGAACATACGCTTCTTCTTCTTTTTACCCTGCTGCGTATCTATGGGCGCTGGCGTCGCGGGAGCCGGAGTAGCCGCGAGCGTCGGTGCCGGAGTCGGTGCAGTAGACGCAGGCGGAGGTGCAGCAGCCAACGCAGCCTTCTCCTGCGCGAGCTTCTCCGAGTGACGCGCCGTCGTGGCCATAGCGTTGAACAGCAGCGCGAAGTTGCTCTGTTTCGACACCTTCGCATCGGACGTCTTCTCCTTTTCCCTTTCGGGCTGGCTCTCGGCTGGTGTGGCGTCGGGCGGGGGAACAGATTCCTCGATACGCTCCGCAGCACGTCGTTTCTTCGCATCCTCGGTGGCCTCTGTTATAGGCCAAGCAAAGCCTGTGCGCGGCGTGTAATCCGGGCGTCGGGAGCTTAGCTTGTCCAGCGTCGATTGTAGCGCGTATAGGGAGGAGTTCTGCGCGTTGGTGTCAGGATCGAGTTCAGGATAGTATAACGTGCGAAGTGTGTTACCAGTTTAGCGGAGAGAACGCTGTAGACGTCTGGTGCTTGATAGACGCGGTTATCCATGACGAAATAGGCAGCTATGGGCCTTGCTAGCATCCGAATTGCGTATCAATCGAAGCAGCTCCAAGATACCCAGAAACGCACTTTCATCTGGTGATAGACGCTCGCGCTTGTGTATCACGAACAGAGAAGGCGGAGTCACATGTACCAGCGCGAACTCGATACCAGTGAACCGTCTAGAGATAGCCATGACGGAATAACGGGTTGACATTCGCCATCGTGGGTTCGTGGGGAATACGACCCACCTTAGCTCATTGGCTCTCGCCTCAGCCGAGACTGGGCCCGCACCGGAGTACTGAGTCTGCATGCCCACAATCTCATTGTTGCTCTGTTTGTCCCAGAACTGCGAGTGGGAGAAGTACTGCAGCACGTTCTCAGCCGTTACCGGACCGTTAGCCTAGCATGAGCCCTTTTTCAATCTACCGCTCTAAGGTTCGATGATGGGGCGGGGGATCATAGGTACCTCGATCCATTCATACCAGACATAGAACTTGAGTGTATCGTCTGCGGGGTGCAAATCGACGTTATCCATCGTTGCCAGTTGGTGGCGAGAGGCAAGTCCTGGCCGGGACGGCGGGACGGTGTTGTGCTCGGCAAACGCCGCCACCACTGTGCGAGCAAGGTGGTTCGGAAATGAGGCACTTCTCCCACATTCACGATTCACCCACCGCTATGAGCCTTACCGGTATGCTGTCCCCTCGTCCGTCGCCCGTACCGCCGCTCTGTCACTCTGGAATGCGTCTTATGGGTCAACGCGCTCTTCCGCTTGACGATGCGCCCCGTCAAGTCTGATCATGGCCCCTTCGCCTCTCGCCGACTCTGCTCGTCATGAAGAAAGCAAGAACGAACACGAATCGAATAACAAATTGCCAGTTGGGAGACGCGTGCTGGGAGTGGTGCTGCATCATCTGAAGAAGCATGTTGGCGTAGGCAAGCCCGCTCTTCTACTGTCAGTCGAGCCAGGCCTAATCGGGTTCTTTGGCAGGTCTGGTCTGCGCTGTGGCCTACTTCGACCCGTAAGTGACGTATCGGTATGATGTGCTGGGTACTGATACCGACTTGCAGAGGAAATTGGAGTGTCGATCTACAAGCAGGCGCGACGTTCGGCTTCCGGCCGATGCTGTTTGTAGTGCTTCTGGCTGGCATCGGAGCGGTTGTATTCCAAGTAGGTGCTGGTTTACACGAAACTTGCTTGTATTGACCGGTGCTCTCAGTCTATGGCGTTCAAGCTGGGATGCGTGACCGGACTGGGTACGCGTGCATCCTGAGTGAATGCCGACATAATTGACGCTCGCTCAGATCTAGCGTCCCACTGTCGGCTCATGTTGTATAACCGACCTAAGCATACACGTCTCGTTAGATACGGCGTCCTCTACCCCCTCTATGCTCTATGCGAGATCGCCATCGTGAGCACGGACCTGGCCGAACTCCTAGGATCAGCTATCGGACTCGTTCTACTCATTCCATCACTACCCATCTGGGCCGCATTACTGTTAACGGCGTTCGACGTATTGGTCTTCCTGCTGATCGGCGATCCTTCACGCAACGGTGCACGACGGGCGAAGGTCTTCGAGAGTGTTGTGGTGATCTTGGCGAGTCGTTCAATATACTGCAACTATGAACACGTCGCTCACGAGCTCTTCAGGTCGGCCTTGTATTCATCGGGTTCATCATCTTGCTCGTCGGCGTACATGTGAACTGGGGCCACGCCTTCATGGGTTTTATTCCCTCCGCCAAGCTATTCCAGTCGGAGCCTAACGCCATCTACACTGGTTCGTACACAATCGTCGTACAAAACTGCCTTGGCATTGGCCTTACCCAGTCACACAGCTGTAGGGATACTAGGCGCCACCGTCATGCCACATGCACTCTTCCTGGGATCACATCTAGCCACACAAGATCGCATCTCTACTGCGCCTGCGCCCATACCCCTGCCCGCGGGAACCGAAACTCTTCCACGACGCAAACGTGCCGTAGCATATTTGAAGTCATTCTTCATGGTCACCCGTTCAGAGCGAATCGCGGAAGATAGACAACACCGCAACCAGTTTGCTCGTCCCGAGAACAACCCCTACAAGTTCGTGCGAGCGCATCTGGGCCACGGGATCGTGGACATCGTGACGAGTCTGCTGTGTGTGGCGGTGCCCATCAATTCTGCGTACGTATGGCATAGTTCGTGTCCATTCGCGTATCCAGCTGATTGCCGCGCAGAATACTCATCATTGCTGCTGTCGTGTTTTTCCCAGACCCCATGCCGCACGACCAAGTTGGGCTATTCGAAGCGCATGAGATCATACAGACGAGAGTCGGCTCAGGTAAATGCGGCATCTTCGGTTCAAGTGCGCGTTGCTCATGAGATATACCTAGCGTTCGGAGTGATCTTCGCCATTGCCCTGCTCTGCGCAGGCCAAACGGCAAGCATCACCGCAACGCTCGCGGGCCAGATAGTTTCCGAAGGCTTCATCGAGTGGCGCATCTCGGTGAGCTAACATCACCACAATCCAGTTCTTTGTCGCCGATCGTCCGTCTTAGCCCGTCATGCGTCGAATCATCACCAGACTACTCGGTCTCATCCCCTCGCTCATAGTAGCCACAGCAGTCGGCCGAAAGGGCATTGATGCGTTGCTGGTCATATCCCAGGTTGTACTCTCCATCGTACTTCCCTTCGTCGTCCTCCCTCTGGTCTACTTCGCCTCCGATCCTACCATCATGGGCGTCAACCGCCCAATACTGCCATCACCACCGACGACGCAGAGCGCGGCAGCCCCGATCACGATTACGGAGAAGTCCCTCGCCAGCACCGCTTCCTCAACATCAACCTCGACGCCTCGAATATCCACCGATCTCGAGCTCTTCGCCTCTTTTGTAAACAGCGCAGACTCGGCCGAGGATGCTTTGCGAGACGATTGCTCAATCAACACTGCCCAGTGGCTGGGAGAGACGAGCTCCGTATCCGAAGACGCAGGCTCGCGTGCGGATGTCATCACTGAAGTGGCTGTGGCACTTGATCATGAAGACCGTGACGTCACGGAAGAGGTGGATTACAGCAATGGACTGGTGATGAAGGGCATTGGGTATCTCTTTTGGATCGTTATTGTTGTCGCGAATGTCTACGCTTTGGTAGAGCTCGCTGTGGGGAATACATCGTGACTCGCCGGTTTCACGGCTTGTCTCTCATCGCGGCGCAATGTGTGCATTGGACTCGCTTCAAGAACCGTGAACGTCAGCGGTTCGTTGAAACGAGTTGTTTGAACGGCATGACGCAGCAGGGTCATCCCTCTGCGGTTTGCGAAGTGATCTGCCCTCTCATAGAAAAGCAAGAGGGTTTCCGCTATGGTTCGACACTCCCCGGCCTGGCGCCCTCAACATGTTTTACAGGGCATGGACAGTAGCGATAGCCTGGATGGCAGCAGCAAGACACGCGCAGTGCGCATCCTTGCCGAATATACCGTGTATGCTTCTTTCCCTGAACGGCCCGACCATCCGCTAACGGATACGCTTCCAGCCGAGAACAGGACCGTCGTCGACCTTGGATACGCGAAGTACCAAAGCGACATCATCTACGACGACAATGTTCTCAGCTTCCTCGGTATCCGCTACGCTGCTCCTCCCGTCGGTGCGCGCTCTGCCCTCACGAGAGTTGAGTCGATTCTCACGCTCACTAGGTGACCTAAGATGGAGAGCACCGCAGGCGCCCGCACAGGTTGCGGGTATCCAAAACGCGACTACCCAGCCGCCCCAGTGCATGCAAGCGCCCGGTGTCGTTGGGTTCCCAGGGATGAGCCTCGTCAACCCGTTTCGTAAGCGCGATGCGGTGAACACCGTGTTTGAGCAACCACCCACCGTGACAGACGAAGACTGTCTCTTCCTCAAGTACGTTCTTCGCCGCATGATGTTTAGCTCCTATGGTACTCATCGGTGAACCTCGCAGTATACACACACCATCTAACTATACCAGCGACGCAAAGTTGCCTGTGGTTGTGTGGATCCACGGTGGCGCGTATGTCTCCGAACCAGCTCTTTCGCCATCGTACATACACTGATAAGCTCACCTGTAGGTACGACGCAGCCAACGCTAGTACTTATCCAGCTCAGGACTGGGTACAGCAAACCAACGGCGGACTGGTGGCCGTCCAAGTACAGTATCGCCTCGGCCCATTCGGTACGATGTCTCATCGTTTAACGTGCTTTATACCTTCCGCTCACCGCTGTCCAGGCTTCCTGTCTAGTGAAGCTATCAAAGATGACGGCGATCTCAACGCTGGGCTTCGTAAGTACTACGCGACGTCACCTTTCCGTCGAGTGCGCTGACTAGCGATTAGTGGATCAACAACTCGCCTTGCAATGGGTCCAGAAGAACGTACGCCGTTTGCTACACGTGTTCTTCGGCATCGTCTGGAGATACTGATACAGTCAACAGATTGCCTCATTCGGCGGTGATCCAGACAAGGTCACCATATGGGGTCAATCGGCCGGCGCGGGCTCAGTCCTGCAACACATCATCGCCAACGGTGGGAATACCCGGCCACCGTTGTTCAGGGGCGCCATCATGGAATCCCCTTTCCTCCCGTTCCAATACGCGTACAACGATCCCATTCCAGAGGTAAATGTCGTCGATCTATCATCTACACCCCTGACGCTCATCAGTTCCATCTAGGCTCTCTTTACGCAGGTACTAGCCATCGCTGGGTGCGGTCCAATCTTAACCACACATATGCCACTACGCTTATCACCCTTAGCAGCTGTAACACGACCGGGTCGAGCAGCGGGCTGGACTGCTTGCGCAACGCAGATGCTTCCTTGATCCTGGAAGCTGATAGAACTCTGGGCACCGCCAGCTTCATGATGACCTGGCCATTCGTCCCAGTCGTAGACGGCGATTTCATCCGTGAGAGGCCCGTGGAAGCATTGGCGAGCGGAATCGTCAATGGGGTAAGTATTTCTCCCTTACGACAACGATCAGCACTGATCCTCCTCCTCAGGAGGCGCTTTATGTCAACACCAATAGCCACGAAGGCTCTATCTTCGTCAACGAAACCTCGCTCGATGCTGCGAACTACACGCTGTCCGATTACATCCGGGAGCTCTTCCCTCGTCTCGCGTCGTCTGACATCGAAGCGGTCGCCGCTGCGTACGCAGCCGACTCTACGCTTGCTTCTATCGCGGAACAGGCCGCAGGTGTGATCGGCGAAAGTGAGTGATGCTCACGATCATGACTTCATGGGATGTTGATGAACCTGCCTCATCTCTAGACATCCTCATTTGCCCTGCTTACTATGCCCTGGACGCGTTCGGCAAGAACGGCTTCAAGGTATGGGCCACGCTAGAGTCTGCCCTGCACTAGCTGATAGCATTCCAGTCCGAGTACGCTCTCCAGCCTGCAGCGCATGCAGATGAATTGTCGTACATCTTCACGAAGTGAGTGTGCTCCATCTCCACTGACAGCGCGAGATGACCAATCGCTGATCGCCGGCTTCCAGTTACGAAGTCCCACAATCCTATCCCAACGTTATCTTCCAGCAAGCATTCGCGAATGCCTTCCTCTCTACAGCGATTTCATTACGTCCGTCGACGAACCTAAATGCTACCGGTCCCGGTACAGCGTGGCCAGCATGGGCTGACAGTCGTACGGAGATGCTCTTCAACAAGACCGAGACCGATGCGCCCGATTTGCGCACGTTCAAGACAGATCCAGCTCTGCTGCGACGTTGCGCGTATGTGTTCATTTATCGAGCGGTGTCCTACATGCTCACACGATCTTAGTCTCTGGCGCGCTCTCTCTGATGCGACTCACCAATAGCACCTCCGGAGTGAGTTCGATCCGTTGGAACACCGAAGAAACGAGCGGTGCATGAACTCTGCGACATGGCCAGCCGGTCTGTCTGTCTATCTCCGCGACCTCAACTTCGGATCATGGAAGAAAAGCTTGCCAATGTGCAATATCAGAGCAAGTTGCCGCAGTATATATTCGTATTTAAATAGTTTCTTGTTGCCAGAAGCCCAGTGCCCTGTTCGTAGACCTTAGTATTGCATGCATCCGTTTGAATGCCGAGACGTTCCAGACGTCTGTATTGCAACTGCATGCATGTAGCCTGCATCGGTCCGCCCCACCTTCCCCCTCTTTCACGCGGTTTCTGAAGATCAGCTTGGACAGCCTGAATCGCTCATGACGCCGATAACGTCCGTCAAGCATTCGATTGAAAGCCTCACAGACTGTCGTAGACACGTCGTTACTTAAGCGGGCTTGTGACAGTAGACAACTGAGAGTGTGAGGTCTTTCGGGTTCGGTACAAGCACTTCGCCATTTGTCTGCCAAAGATGTGCGCGCATCATAGACACGATCATGTGAGTTACCGCTTCCGACGTGAATATCTGCCTCAGTACATACAGTCAAGTGTTGACATTGCAGGTCAAGACATAACTACGCGCGCCTGACCATGGGTAATGTAATGAGGAAGCTAGCGTATTCGTTCATTGCATCTCAGCGGGGCGTACGCGTATCGTGCAAGGCAATTACGTAGTCTGCTAGTGCCGCTGCAACCTACAGTCGAGGACAAGACCTCTAGACTAGGCATCCATCCATTCAAACATAGGCGCCTATGCCATGAAGACCCGTGGCGGACCAAATACGGGCGTGTAGTCGATCAACATATGGAACTCCCCACGTTCGTCCACGATCTCGCACTTGCTCTTCTGCTCCGCCAACGTCTCCTTGATGCGCGCGAGGCACCAGTTGTCGTCAGGATGCTTCCACCCATCAAGGTACAGCGTCTCGAGCTGCTTAGCGCCGACGCGCTTCATCCATGCGCGCAATCCATCCCATTCTTTCCGCCCGCGCCCTTTCTTCTGCACTTGATCGAGCCAGTTGATCTTGAGCGTTCGGAGCGCGGGAAACTTCACCCACGACAGCTCGTCGGTTAAGAATGACAGCTCCAGTCGCTCTCTGACTTCTACGGACAAAGTCTGGACTGACGGTGCGATCCTCAGTAGAGCTTTCTGGACCTTCTCTCCGTCGTATGATCTTGCCTCGCAGGTAAGACCGAGGTCGAGGGTGGTGATGTGGCGCGGGAGGAAGAAAGGCGCGAGCTCTTTGATGTAGTCAAAGATGTGCTCAACACGCGAGGGGCCCCGGAGCAGAATGAGGGGTGAATCGGCTAAAGAGCCCCGAGTAGAGAGCGCCATGTACGAGTCCTCGCGAATGCGGAGCGAGTCGTAGCTAGGCTGCGAGAAGAAGGGTCGGAGGGCCTGGCCCACGGCTTGTATCTGGGAGACCTCTTCCAATACATTGAGTGCTATCTCTATCCCAGCTTCTGAGGGGACCACAAAGTGAGACATAAACTTGACAACAGTGTCGCAGCGAACATATCGCAGATACAGCTGCTCTAGACATGGGAGATGAATCTCCCGTCCAGCTTCACCCGACATCCAGCGTTTCGGATTGGTCCTCGTGGGTGGCAAGGTGGAGGTGAGCGACAGCCGACGAAGATGAGGAGTAGATGATAGGATATCCAAAAGTCTGGCGGGCGACAATAACTTGGCACACTGGAACAAGTTGAGTTCCTCAAGTCGAGGGGCCACGATCGGGATGTAGGAGTTACGCATGTAGAGAAAGCGTAGTTGTGGCGCATCAAGGGCAGGCGAATCGAGTTTCACTCCGGCTTCAGATTTGGATGACACGGCCTCCAGATAAAGCGCCGTCAAAGCAGGTGCGCTTCGTCCCGACAAGAATGAATGCCAGTCACGATCTGAAGCAGCGCTGAGAGTGCCGATGCGATCCATATGCTTTATCGCAAAGTCGTATTGCGGCTCAGAAATACCCCACCAATTGGTGACTAGAGTGAGAGGGACTCGGCGGGATCTTTGTAGCACAAGATTGAATCCATCCACGGTCTTTGGTAGACCCGCGATGTTTGCCCAGAGAATAGCATGACCATAGACGGTTTCTTTGAACCGTCTAGAGACTAATGCGAGTCTATACATGGCTCCCGCACGCAAGTGGATAGTTTTGCCTGGCATAGGGACGGGTATCTCGGAAGACCACGACGGGTCATGGGCAATCACGGCCCAAAAGACAATTTCGCGCAGGACGTCATCGTCTATACTGTTGATCGAAGTTCTAGCAAAGGGTCAATAGAGCATATGGAAGTCGAGGGTGTCACATTCGTACGGTACAGGAGATCGTTGTGAGGCCTTATGGTCATTCTCCCGGAGCCTGGTTAATGCACTAGCGGGCTCGTCGGGTACTTCTTGCACTTCGGGCTGCCTCATGTCCTGAGGGATCGATATCAGACCATAAGATGCATATGAACTGGCTCTCTCACAGTTTGCTCTGCCATACTGACTGGAGATGGTGGTGGTTTGAGTAAGGATCCGCGGCCGGCGCTCTCGCGATCGCATCAATCCTCCCAGGCCGCTCGCCGATCGGTCCTTTCAACCGGACCACGACGTGCTCCTTGTTGCAAGCCCGAATGACCACCGAGACCGGTGGGTCGCCCCGTCTCCCGCCATAACCGCTCTCATCGTGCTCTCAAGACACCCACATCAAGTATCTCCGCCTCGCGCTGGCCGAAGGCGCCAAATGCGAACCCACACCAACGGCCTTCTGCGTCGGCTGCGTTCTCGTCACCCGGACACCCTCTGAGCTCAAAGTCCTCTCCACCGGATACTCGCGCGAGCTTCCGGGTAATACGCACGCAGAAGCGAACGCGCTCGCGAAAGCGCGCACCATGACGCCAGCTGAGCTCGCGCAGTTCCCGTCACAGAATATCGACGAACTGCTGCGAGAAGCGGACTGCTACACGACGCTTGAGCCATGTTCGGTGCGAACGTCGGGTCTGGCGCCGTGTGCAGATGCTTTGGTAGCGGCGAAGATCAGGCGGTGTATCATTGGTGTGGGCGAGCCGGACGACTTTGTCAAGTGCGAGGGTGCTCAGCGTCTCACCGACGCTGGTATCGAGGTGATCTGGGTGAAAGGTCTCGAGGAAGAGTGTTTGGCGGCTGCAAGAAGAGGGCATTAGACGATTTTCGGGATTTGGAGCTGCGCGTACGAGCTCTGCTCTCTGCTTTACTCTGTAGAGTACTCGACGTGATGGGACTCAATGCAGGCTGAATACGATATATTCTTACATCTTAGCTTCTGCATCGGTCCTGTAGTGTAGTGGTTATCACAGCGGATTCTGACGAATTAATTTCCGCTAACCCAGGTTCGAGTCCTGGCAGGACCTTGCAATGGGCAGACAATATCTTTTTTTTGCAATTGACTCACCAGTTATCCGTGTCAATACTCAGCTTATTCCATAATCCCATCCGCGAATAACAATATCACGCATCACGCATGCTCCTAACAGCCAACGAGAAGAAAAGCAACAATCATGTAACGACTTCGGTCAAGCACGACTAAGCAGTGTAAAAAACCCTGAATTCTGAGCGAGAGACATACAAGCAAACGACTGAAAAAGAGAGACGAAGAGAGAGATCTACAGTAACGGACAAGGAGCAAAGCAGGCAGTGGCGTATCGCGCGGGTGGACAAACATACAGAGAGGATGAGGAGGAGCGAAGCAGACGAGCTCGGAATAATGCATAAATACGCTATTGAACATGCGTAGTGTGGATTGGGGGAGGGGTGTTCTTCTAAGGCGGCGTGGTAATGTCTAATCATCATCATGGACAACTGGGTGGGGTAACATCGTGGGTAGGTAGGCGGGGGAATACGGGGTAGGCTGGGTTGTATCAAAACCAGAGGCGACTCGAGGCGAAAGCGGAGGGGTAAAGAGGCAGTTCTACCAATTGACCTTCTCCAACTGCCCAATCTCCCTCTCCCAGTCCACATCCAACCACGGATGCCTAGCCGCCTCACCAGCACTAACCCGCGCCCTGAAGTCCGTCATAAGCATCGGCTCCAAAAACGCACACAGCGCGTCCGCATCGTTCGGCGCAAACAGGTACTTCTCCCTCATCACCCTGCTCAGCGGCCACGGCTTCAAATGCTTGATATACCGCAGCTGCCCGTTCGAGTCGAACAGCTCGCGGCTGTACCGCCCGCCGTTCCTAACCTCCGGCGCCAGCTCACCGAGCAGCTCGATAATCTGCGCCATATGGTCGTCGTCCTTGCTGAACAGCGTGCCCTGCCCTTGCGGCTCGAACAGATACTCCGCCGTCAACAGCTCGAAAACGACACACGCCGCGCTCCACACGTCCACCGCCGCGCCCCAATCGCTCCTCCCCAGAATTGCCTCAGGAGACCGATACTGCCTCGTCTGGATATCCTCCGTATAATGCCGCGTGCTGGGCGTCGCGTTACCGAGATCGGCGATCTTGATGCTACATGGTGAGAACGCCTCTGCGATGGGCTGGGAGTTGCCGGCGGATGATACGGAGCTGAAGGCAGTGGACGATGAGCTTAAGCTGCTGTCGCGGGAAGCGGGCTCGGCGCTATTGGCTCGCGATGCGCTGCGCGCTTGTCTTGTGGGTGCGGTTTGGGATAGTAAGGAGGGTCCGGCGACGGGTACGGGGCCGGGTGTTGCGGCGGGGACTTCGACTTCGACGACGGTGGGCATATTGCGCTCGTCATCGTCGGACGATTGTGGTGGTGCAGGCGGGCTGAGCTTGAGCTTGCTCATTGCGCTGCCAAGGCTCGTACTGGGCGTAGTGAGCGCTGTACCGGCGCCGGCGGAGACGGGGCTGCGTGGTGTGAAAGCGAGGGAGGAGATTGAGCCGGAGGATGAGGAGGATAGTAGGTGTGTGCGCGAAGGCGAGCGGAGCGGCTGGGATTCACAGATCTGCACAGACTTGGCATTGGTGTTGAGGGCGTGTGATGGGAGAGCGGAGGATCGCCTGCGTGCTGCGGGCGGGATGGCGAGTTTGTAGGTTTGCGGTGTCGGGCTGCTGGAGAGCTCGTCGGCGATGTGCGCCTCCACATCTGGGATGGACATGACTATGATGGTACGATCAGCTTCCGGTGGAAAACGTGCGTTGCAAGGTAGATGACTTACGGATGTTCTCCGGCTTGATATCAGTGTGCACAAGATCGCACTCTTCGTGCAAGTACTGCAACCCAAGCAACAACTGGCGCGCGATGCATTTCACCAAACACGGCGCAACGCCCTTACGCCTATTCTTCTCGATCAAAGCCAGCAAGTTCTCGCCTAGCGGCTCGAACGTCATGCACACATGCTGCCCGCTCGGTGCAGTATGCGAGAATGAATCGAGGAAGGAGACGACATGCGCGCGACCATGGTGCGCGGGCGATGTGTCTTGGATCTGTTTGAGAAGTTTAATCTCGTCCCGTGCCGTCTCGGCGTAGCGGCTGGCAGACTTGACGACTTTGAGCGCGCAGTGGCGTTGTTCTCTGCCGATATCGCGTCAGCGTGCACCTATTACACAAGTCGGGGGAAGACGTACTTGCTATCGCGAACGAGCCAGACGGTGGAAAAGTGACCCCATCTGCAAAATGGACGCCGTCAGTAGATTGAACATCTATAACGTGCTGTGCGCGATTGGCGCGCAAGAGAAGGTTAAAGCTTTGACGCGCGAGACCGAGTCGGGAGACGCCGGAGACAAAGTAGGAAAGTCAAGCTTCGCGCGCGTGCCGGCACCGAGATCGACAATCAAGCCCGTGGCTGGGCGCTGCTGACTGAGCATGACGAACATACGAAGAAAGCCCGCACGTCGAGCAGGCCACACAGCGAGCAAGCACTGGCCAGCAAGTACGTGTAAGAAAAATAAGATCAAGACAGGAGGTTGAACATGAGCCCTCGGGTCTGAGGGCGGAAATCGCAAGCGCACGCGACATCGGAGCCATATTGCCGCCATATTGCGGGCGAGGAGAACACACGAAGAGCACGACACCTACCCTAACTTGCGTACGATTGCGTACCGGCCGTCCTTAAAGCTGTCGCCGACCTATTAGTAGCACGAGAGTCAGCTCCATGCCCTTTCTCCAAAAGCCCTTGTTGACCTTCGCACGCGAGCTGTAGCCCGCGCACGCGAGTCTCCGCGGGAAGGTCACGCTACTCACCTTGACTTGGAGGTATCCTCCGGTATTGTACTCCGCCGCGTTCTCCTCGTCGCGCGGCTGGGTGGACGACTTGTGTGAAGATGCTACTGCTGCCATCGATGCGGGAGCAGGGGACGTGGTGGTTTCTGACGAAGGGACTTGTGTGGGTCGAGTTCGAGCGGAGCAGCGATAAGGGATGGAGTTGCGCGCGGTTATCCGGGTGAGCCGCGGCCGGTCTATGTGCTTCTATACGCACAAACAGGAAACTCTACAACGGCAACGAGAACGGCGAGCGGCTGGTCTATGTGGGCACGACAGAGAGGAGGCGTGTGCTGGTGGGGGAGTCAGCTCAACGAGCGATACGGCGAGCACATTGACAGGGGCGCCGCGGCTTGGGCTTGGACGTCTCAGCGGGCCGTAAGCGCCGCCGCCTGAGCCAATCCCATCATTCTGATAATCCCGTCCTTCCGTATCTTCGGGATATGCAAATTGATGCTGCGCCATCTCGTATCGCATGTTATCCATTGTCCACTTCGTCTACATCTACGCACTGTACGCTACGCATCGTAATACCTACTTTTAGCAGCACGTATGCTTCTGCTTCAAAGAAGCACGTCTCGCCTTCGACCCTGATCAACCTGTGCTGTGTCCAAGTCTGTGCGAGAACCCGACTACGCCTCGGATGCAGGTAGACCGCCTCTGGAGCTCACTGTGGCTATATGATCTGCATCCGTCTCACAAACTTCTTCCAGCCCCGCGTCTGGATACGAACCAGTTCCATATACGCAAACTGCCGAACGGCGCCGCAACCGTCGTCGGCAAATATACAGCCTCAAACATCTGGCTAAAGCCGTATGTATTTGCAGGGCTGTTTAGCGTTCGAGCTCTACTTCTCCCCGAGAAAGCCATAGCGCTGACTACGCGCGCACCGCAGCTGACTATACATGGTAGAGTAAATATGACGCCCGAACGAAGTCCATCCATCCGACCCTGCGCCCGGTTACCTTGACTAGCAGGCATCTGTAGCTAAGCACCCGTTACACCTCCAAAGGGAATGCCGGCAAGAGCGCGAGATAGTGCATTCGGCCCTGCAGTCGATGCCGCACAAGCAGAGCCTTCACAGGCCTTCACGAATGTTCGGAGGCTCCGAAAGCTCAAAGGGCGCGCGCAGATGCCGTATTTGGACGAGTGGCGCCTTGGATTCGCGAGCTTATTGCGGTAGTTGTGTATGTGTATCTGCAAGGATCCGAGCGGCGCGGCGCATGCGGGAAGGAGGCGGCCGGAGTACTACAGCTACTATACGACGTATTTGGCAGCCACGAACGGCGAGCTGTATGGGGGTGTGGAACGAGGGTGGAGGTTGAGCTCAGGGTCATTGAGCTATGGGAAATCAGGGCGATCAACGTGGTTTTGGGATCACTTGGCTGGCGGCGCTTATAGACGTGCAACACTCATGCACTCTGCAACCCTGCATCGCTCACACACCTACTCTGTCCCTGCTACCACCAAGCGATCGCAACCGGACAAGATATATTAGCACCATGGCCTCCGCCGCCGCACCCAAGCCCAAGTTAATCGGCGCGGTCGAGGACTCATGGGAGCTGTACAGGTCCGTCAGCCCTCGGGCACCACTTGCCATCCCGCACAAGAAGAACAACGGCCGACACCGGAACCCTTATACAGCGACTCTGCCGCCGACTACACTCGCGGCCTCCCCATTGGCTTTGGCGCCTCCTCGACCGTCTACGCCGCGATCTACAAGCCCAAGGCTCAGCCGAACCACCCGCCGGTGCCATGTGCGCTCAAGGTGCTCGACCTCGACTCGCTGCCGCCCAACTCGCTGCGACTGCTCCAGCGCGAGACACAGCTGATGGCGATGAGCAAGCACACGAACGTGATCCGAGTACGCGGCTCCTGGATGGAGGGCCACAAGCTGTATATCGCGCTCCGCCTCATGAACGCCGGCTCGGCCGCAGACGTCATGCGCTATGCCTGGCCCGGCGGCATGGACGAGGAAGTCGTCCGCTGCATCCTCAAGCAAGCCCTCGAGGGCCTCAAGTGCGTATTATTTTCACTGCTTATTGTCGCCCGCACCACAATATGTCTCCGTCGCCACCTGCGGAACGCGACGCGCGCCGCGCGGGTCGAACGTTTGCGCCCCTATTTCGTGTCCGCGCCGCGCGTCGGCGGCCCTTGTGCCTCATCACAAATACACAATATACAATTTCCGATGCTGACTTGCCCGCAGTTATCTGCACATCAACGGCCTGATCCACCGCGACGTCAAGGCCGCGAATCTGCTCATCGACGACGACGGCACGGTCTTGCTGGGCGACCTCGGCGTCGCAGCGCCACTGCACGATGAAGACCACACGCACGAGCACGGCGCCATTCCCGAAGGTTTCGCGTCAGCGTCTACATCCAACAAGACGCCAACCACACCCACTCCCCCATCAAAACAGCGGATCGGCAAGCGCCGCAGCTTCGTCGGTACTCCATGCTGGATGGCGCCAGAGCTCATCAGCGGAAAGCACTACGACTCGAGCGCTGACATCTGGAGCTTCGGCATTACCGCTCTCGAGCTCGCGCAGGGCCGCGCGCCCAGGAGTCGGGAGAGCCCCAACTCGGTTCTCCTTCAAACGTGCGTGTTTACTTCCTTACCCTATCCCTGTACACACATAGCCCCACCGTACGGGCCCCACATATCCCCGGCTCACCCGCGTTCGTTCACGTCTTTCTGTTTTTGCGGTGCGCGCGTCGACGCGACCCTGCAGTTCTCTGATGTGCTCTTGTACACGCCCTTTCACACATGCAGATAAGAAACTGATCAAATTTCACTCTCTTTGCAGCGTGCACAGTGCGAGCCCGACGTTGAATCGCGAAGGCGGCGTTCACAAGTACACTCGTGCGTTCAAGGAGGTCGTTGACCTGTGTCTCGCCAAGGATCCTTCTTCTCGGTACGTACTCTATACTCCTCGGCTCCACACACCCGCGACCCTTGACGCGCGTCACGAAATCAAACTATCGCGAATCGTTCCTATCATATCGCTTCATCTTCACGGTCTATTCGGGTGCGCTGACATGTGATCTATGTGCAACAGACCTACGGCCGCACAACTGCTGCAAATGCCGTTCTTCAAGAACGCAAAGCGCAAGTCCTACCTCGTAGACACCGTCCTGCGTGAGTGCCCCTATCTCGTGTGGCCCGTCGAACAAGCGGCTGATTGTCGATCCCGTGACCCTTCCTCCTGCTCTCGCCCCGCTTCTCGCGCGCGCGTCTATTCCTCTCCTTCCCAATCCGGCGTGCTTCTCTCTCAATCCGGCGTTCTTCCCGCTTGATTTGGACTCGGACTGGACGGCCCCCGCTCGCGTGTTTATCACTCTTTCCGCGCCGCCTTCAATTGGACTGGACGACGCCGCAATCCGCATCTTGCCGGCTGCTTGTGCGCGCACGCCACCTCGCCCGCTGACACTGGCTTCTCGTCAACCCTGCGCTCCCGACCTTCTTCACGACCCTGCTTGCGCCCATCGACCCTGCCCGCTCTCCACCCCTGCCCGGTCCACATGAACTGCGCGCGCCATACTTCATCGGGCCCATCGCCTCGTGCATCTTGCCGGCACAACTCACTCGGGCATCTCGCGTGCGATATCACGTCGCCGTCTTTTCATTTCCTTTGTCCCCTCTTTGATCTCGTGATGTGACGTATTGACGCATTCATATCCGGACATGAACACTGACAGGTGGACTCCCGCCTCTCACATCGCGTCTCGAGCGTCGGCGCACGCCG